GTGTACGACTAGTGACGTCAGGCCAATAGAGGAGCGTTCTTGAAATTAAAATTATTGCGAGATTTCTAATAAAGTTTTTTTTATAGATAGGCTTGTTTAATTGTTTTGATATGTTAGATAATTATTCCTAGGGTATTTCTTAATCGTTTTACATGTTTGAAATGACTATTTAATTTTTTGTGAACATCCCTAGCCCCGCAAATTGACAACAGATGAACGTGTATTTGCTATGCAGGTATGGTGGCGACAAAAAAGTAGCACTATTATAAGAACAGTATTTGAGGAGAAATTTGCTAAAACGGTGCGCTAACACAGCAGCCCTTATTTAAATTAAACAAGAGATTTGAGAGCGCTGGCAATGTTGCTGATTTACTTCGATGCAGTCGTCCATATCCAGCAAGTCTACAGTTAGTTGTTAGTAGTTAGTTTGGGAAAGTGTTGTTGAAAATCCCACCGTATCAACCAAAAGACAAGCTTTAAAACTGGACATGTTTCTGTTAAGTCTTCAAGACATAAAGGCGGCTTTACACGTATCCATTGGCGCGACAGCACTGGCATAGAAGTATGTAAACACTTTTTTGTCTTAAATAGAGGGCTTGTATAACAAACGACTGACTTCGCCAAGGAACTGGCGTGCCAGTGAGATTGACACCAGCTATTGGATACGTGTAATAGCCTTAATGAGGAAGTTGAAATTAAAATGCTTCAACCAACCACTTCTGCATACTTTTCATGAAGATGATTTTGACAACAAAGTGGAATTTTTTGAATCGTTCGTAATTTAGTCTAAAGTTAGAAATAATTTTGTTATTGTTAAGAGAGGTGGTGATTCCAGAATTGCAAAATAATCGAACTTATGAAAACATTTTTTTTTAATCTGGCAGCAAGATGGAGCACCACCATATTACGGTTTACAAGTAAGAGATTTTTTAAACAAAACATTTGAGGAATGGATCAAACGGCGTGAAACAGTTGACCGATCCCAATTGTGGGGCATAATAAAAAATGCAGTGTGCAAACCAACGCCAAAAATATTAGAAGAATTAAAGGACTATATCGAAGACGAGATCATTTTATTGCACACACAACCAGGTTTGGGCAGAGAAATCTGTAATTCTGTCATAAAACGCTGTAATGTATGTATTAAACAAAAAGTTACACAATTTGAACATTGGTTGTAATAAATTATATTTTTGAAAGTGCATTTTGTTTTAAATTGTTTTCGGTGAATGGAAATATATGACACCGCCACAATGACAGATAGTCTAGAATATCTTCAAACCCTGTTTAACGCTGTAAACAACGAAGGCACTTAAAAAGGCTTAACAGTCGACACAAAGAAAACAAAATGGATGGTGGTCAGAAAGATTAATATCGAAAATTCTCGAAGCAGTGGAATACTTTGGACATCTGGGTAGCTGTATTGACTGCAGGGTTGAAAGTGACTAGGAAATTTCGATCAGAATAGAACTTGCACGAAAATTTTTTCTTAACTGACGTTATGTATTGTGAAGTAGAAGTCTGTTATTGGCTTCACGTCTAAAAGTATTTACGTACTACATCTGTTCCGCTTTTTTCTATGTACAGTAGTACCTCGATATACAAGCGCCCTTTTATATCAGTGTTTTGAGATATGAGCTGCGAAGCGAGCGATATTTTGCTTTGAGATGAGAGCAAGATTTGAGATACGAGGAATCGGTTGTTATTTAAATTCAAACCTCTTATTTGACTACTTCTAATTTGCTTTGTAAATAAAAGGTAGTTTTACTGGTAATAGATCTTTACGGCCTCGCCATAAAGATCATTTTACGGGTCTCTACGTGACTATTACTTGGACCGACAAATTAAATGGTCATTGCATTCTCGATGTCGGTGTAATCTACACTGTGTAAATATTTACTATAGACCTTAGTCTAGCTGATTTGCTTGTTTCCCTCATTTGCGAAGTATTGTTGATGTTGATAATTTCTAAGCTCCAGACTTCTCTTCATAAAAAAAAGAGAAACTACTAATGGGTGGGAGAAGCAGCTTCAATGAGGAAACTTAATACAAAGCGTTATATGTGAGAAGACACTAGCGATTTACGAAGATTTTCTAAAGCAGATTCCGCACACTTTCATAAATGATGAATCGAAAGACCCGTTTAAAGCTAGTCGAGGCTGGTTTGACAACTTTAGAAAAAGAACCGGCATTCAATCCGTCGTCGGGCATGGTGAGGCAGCAAGTTTGGATGTGAAAGCTGCTAAGGTTTACATTAAAACGTTTTCCGAACTGATAGAAGAAAAAGGTTACATCCCCCAGCAAGTCTTCATCTGTGACGAGATAGGGCTTTTCTAGAAAAAGATGCCGAAGAGAACTTACACAAACCTATGAAACATAGAGCAGATCTATTAATTTGCGCCAATGCGAGTGACGACTATAAAATCAAACCTCTTCTAGTGTACCATTTAGAAGATTTCAGAGCCGTTAAGTCACATAAGATTTTAAAAGAAAAACCACCAGATATGTAGAGGGCTAATCCAAAAGCGTGCGTCATCAGGAAATTCTTTGTGGAGTAGATAAACCTGGTGTTTGATCCTTCTGTTAAAAAATATCTATAGCAAAACAACCTACCCATGCAAATCCTTCTTGTCCTCGATAATGCCACTTCTCACCCACTAAATCTCGAAGATGATTTACTCTAAGAGTTTAAGTTTATAAAGATTCTCTACCTACCAGCCAACACCACTAATATCTTGCAGCCTATGGATCAGTAAGTGATTTTTAATTTTAAGAAGTTGTATACCAAGTACATTTTTCGTCGCTGCTTTGAGGTTACGGAGAACACAAACCTTACCCTTCGAGAGTTCTGGAAGGACCACTTTAATATAGTAATATGCCTAAGAATTATTGAGCAGACCTTTCTAGGTATTACAACAAGGACCTTAACCTGTGCATGGAAGAAGCTGTAGCCTGAGACTATAGATGATAGGACCTGCGAAGGACTGGAACCCTAAGTGTCAGTGGTACATGAGATTGTTTCTTTTGGAAAATCCATTGGTCTGGAAATGGATGAAAGAGATGTGAACAAACTTGTCGAGGAACAGTCTTGGGAGCTGACAACCCAGGAGTTAGATAAACTACATTCGCAGCAGCATACGATAATTCAACGAAAAATTGGTTTTAAAGAGGAGCCAGAATTGGAAGACGCTGTCTCTACAAGAGATGTAAACGAGGTCGTGGATAAAAATCACCCCGAAAAAGTAACAACTGGTCGAGCTTTAGTGTTCTTTAACGAAACTTGCCTAATACATTTCCGGAATATTCTGAAAGGTATAAAGAAACAAACCTCTTTGGATAGTTTTTTTAAACGATCTCTAGATGAAAATGAGTAAAGTGTGACGAAAAAAGCGAAGACAGCTGACGAAAATTAAGCGCTTCCGTAAGGACTTCACTTTTTCTTATGTTTTTATAGAAGTTATATTTTGTAAAATAAATCTTTTTTTAATACATTTTTCTTATTTAAAAATACCTAACAAAAACAACTACCGTGTTTTCTTTTTATTACTGGAACTGATTTATGATATTTCAGTTAATTTCAATGGGGAAAATTGCTTTGACATAGAGCAATTTGACATACGAACAAGATTACCGAACGAATTACACTCCTACGTCGAGGTACCACTGTATGTGAAACCTATAGAACAAAAATAAAAAATTTTAACGTAACATGCTTAGAATCCCGTGGACAGCACATATATCTAACGAACTTGTGCTAGAAACCATGCACAAAGAACGAGAATTGATCAACATCATCAAAATGGGAAAGATCCAATACTTCGGTCATATAATGAGAATACATAAATATCGCTTACTACGGTTGATCATTCGGGGCAAAATCGATGAAAAACGCTGGATTAGAAGAAAACAACTGTCCTAGCTGCGTAACATTAGAGAAACATTTCACCAGCCTGTTAATACGACGATAGCCAATGCTTTGGCTATCAATGCAAACAGCATTGATAGAACAAAGCACGGCAAACAAAGAAGAAGATGACATTTTTGCCAAGGAAATTCTTTCGGATTGTTTTGGCGTCAACTAAATCTTTAACCCTTTACGTGCCCTACGAAGTACGGTGACGGCTCGTTACTAGAAATACGAAGACGTCGTTTTTACAAATAAAAATGTTGCAGGAAATCGAATTCGTGTGTTCTGGCTTAGAATGCCAATATTTTGACTGCTAAGCTAGGGTTACCACGGCTGTCATAAAGTAGGTAAGTAAGAAATATAAAAATAGACGGATTTCATAATAGAGAGATGAGAGGACCAAGCTATTAGAAACATTAAATTAAGAAAAGAATTGTGCAAAAATGTAAAAGATTGAATATTAATTATAACTAAAATCAAATTACACAAGAACTTGTAAAAACAATTAGCATTCCCCGTGATTCACTGCAATAACCGAATCGAAAGAGTTCCAAAAAAAGCAGTTTCACTCGGAATGAAGCTTTAATCTTGATGTGATAATGAATAATACATAGACACATTACTGACTCCAAAATTAAATCGGTGAAATGTTATCGTGTAGTGCAGTTCAATCTGTTATAGATTGTGTAAGATAAGTATTTATAATGTAGTCAATTAGTACTATAAATGGTGTAGAATGGACTAATTGAATTTCATATGAAAGCATAACTAGACCAGTACGATTTGCCAAGCCCATATCTAGTATAAAAATATTATTTAATGTATGTCTTCTAAATATTATTTGATGAAGGAAATATTCCGTGTGGTTTCTTAATGCAAATATAATTAAAAGAAAAAGAGAAAAATACTTTAGTGTGATCGAATCCTTAAAGCAAATGTCACAAAACTAAGTACATAAAATATCTAAAATAGATCTAGAATGGTGGATACTATGATCAAAAATTGTAAAAGTAACAGTTTTAAATAACTAGGATCACATTTTCTAATTATACTATGAAGAAAATAGAGAAAAAGGTATATAATAACACTAGAACAGAATAATATCAATAAAACAAAGCAACTTCTACAAGATCGCTATGCTAAACTAGATTAAATTATAGGTACTATGATATTAAGTACTTGAATCAATATCAAATCTACAGTTTAAAACTTTGGTGACATATACAATAATTAACACAAAAAATTTAAAACAAAAATTATCTAATCTACTTGTAATTGTCTAAAACTGCCAGCTAAACTTCCAGTTTCGTCTATCGATGGTGGTTTTCTTCTTCTAATAATACCTCTATCGCTGAGAAGATTCATTTCATCGTAGCTAAGAAGACGTTTTCTTTTTGCTTCCAATTCTTGCTTCCAGAGCCTTATCATTTCTTTCTCGGGCATATCTCCTCCAAGTTCGGCTGGCAGGCAGTGCTTGCTCACTTTTTTGTGAAGTTGTTCTAAAGACGAATGAATCTAAAAATATTGTAATTATAATTATATTTTGAATAAGGTTAAGTTCGAAGGAGACTCCATTTTTATAATTTATCTAATAGGTTTTAAACCAGAGATAAGGACAAATTTGTTAACTCAATTAAACTAAGTATTTAACAGCACAGAAAAAATAAAAATAACAATAATAATAAAACAGTAATTGTGATGATTTAAAACTATTGGCTTCCACTCAAAGCCACCTGGATCAGATGCTAAAAAGAGTAGAAAATGTATCTAATGATATTAGTATGCACTTCGGTCTTGACAACTGCAGTGTCTTAAATATAATAAAAATAAAGATTTAGCCCGGCGGATTCGATATGCAAAACGGCCAGAACATCGAGGCCATGGGTGAAAATAATATATAAATACCTTGGAATAAAGCAATCGCAGAAGATTGACTATAAGCAAATGAAAACTGAGATAACTACTGCGTTTATTGGAAGGGTAAAACAGCTGCTTCGTTCACAACTTAACAGTAAAAATTGTTTAAGTCACTAAACACCTACGCATATTCCACGCTACTCATTTGGTATTGTAATTGGACAAAAACGGATATAGAAAATCTTCAGCAAAAACTACGAACACACCTCACAAAGGCACAAAAACACCATCCTCGAAGTGCAGTAGAAAGAACGACATTAGCGCGGTATTTAGAAGGACGAAGACATGGATATAAGCGAGCAATTAAAAAAACAGATTACTAATTTAAAAACGTATTTCTAGGTGCAGGCGGAGACATCGAAAAAATGCGCACCCGGATGGGTAAACCCTTGCACGGGCGACATCCTAATGAGGTCAGTCAAGACCATGTCAACAATATAGCGTCGAACTATTGGCTGACATCAGGAAATATGTTCCCTGAAACAGAAGGTTCCCTAGTGGCCATTTAGGATCAGAGGATCAGGGTTTACCAACCAAAAAAACCTGAAATATATCGTTAAAGACCCTCAGGTCCAAAATGACAAATGCCGATATGGATATCAAGCTCAGGAAACCATCCAACATCTTACGGGGGGCTGTCAGGCATTTGCTGCAACTGAATATAAGAAACGGCACGACTCAGTAGGAAAGATCCTTCATCAAGGGATAGCTATCAAACTGGGGCGTCTACAAACAAACCATCTTCCATATTATCAATACGTTCCTGAGAGTATACTTGAGAATGACAACTACAAGCTATACTGGAACTGCACTGTGCTCACATACCAAACAGTGGCACATAATAGACCAGATCTCAAAGTAGTTAATAAACTGAAGAGACAAACAACATTAATTGATGTCGCGATACTCAACAACAATAATCTTCGTGTTAAACAGAACGAAAAAATCGCCAAGTACAGGGTTCTGAAAATTCAAATACGAAGACAGTGGAGAATAGAAAATACCCAGACAATACCCAATATTCTCTCTACTACTGGAGTCATTCCAAAGAACCTCCTAGTACTGACAGCACCGTATCTTTCTATGGCTCTAAGAATCAGAATGGATAGTCTGGATGTATCAAATCATATATCAAATCTGTATGTAATCAAATGGATGTATTTCCCATATTCCTATAAGGTGTAGAAACATGAACACTAAATATGGAAGTCCTTAAAAAGGTAGAGGCCGTTGACATGGCGAGAGTGTCCTGGACGAAAAGAGTCACAAATCAGTCAGTTTTGCAAAGACTAAATATTGAAATTATATTTACTATAAAGAAAAGAAAACTTAAGTTCCTTGGCCTTGTCTCTAGAGGCACAAAATATAGTTCCTACAGTTTATAATACAAGGAAGTTATCTGTATCTGTAGAGTAGGGAGGGCGAGTTAAGTTTCACAGCACTTAGGCCACAATTGTGACCCAATGTGCATCCTGCCTTAGCTCATTGTCCATCCTGCTATTTTGAGGAAGGTGAATAAGTCATCAGGAGACATCTCCCTTATGTGGGCAGGTATGGGCCAGGACTCGCCGAACGCATGCTCTCGTATTAACGATAACTCCGGGCATTCACATAGGACATGCTCTACAGTTTCGTCTTCTCGTTCACACTTTCTAGATAGAGGTGTGTCTGCTAGCCCCAGTGTGTGAAGATGTTTGCTTAGTTGACAATGACCAGTCAAAAAACCAACTGTCAAGCGTAGGTTTTTTTTGGTCATTCCCAAGTAATTTTTTAATGCTGACTCTTCAAGGTTACTTAGTGTTACCCTATCACGTTTACATTCTTGCCTTTCTTCCCATCTTTTTACGGTTTGCGTACGGGAGTGACATTTAAAAATTTTCGCGATTGTTGTAGTCGACCAACCAAAAAGATCTCCAGGTCCTAAGAGTCTTAGGGCTGCCGCCTTTCTAGCCAATTGATCAGCAATGCGGTTGCCTTTATTCCTATTGTGTCCTTTAACCCACCTCAGGATGATGGTATTACCATCTGAAGCCTGAGTTAGTGACTCGTGACACTCCCTTACTAACCCTGATGTGACACGTGGTCTATTCAAGATTAGTAGCGCTTATTTGACATATATATCTAGAAGCGTGATGCCAATGATCCACTCCATCGCAGCAGTTGGTGTTGTTTTCGTGGCAACTATTATATTTATGCAAGCCATCCGCTGAATATGGTTTAGTTTGTTTATCGCTGTTGCTTGTAGCAATTTTGGTACCCAAGCAATAGCTTCGTAAGTTAGCATTGGCCTAATGACAGCAGTGTAGATCCAGGCGAACACCATGGGCGAAAGCCCCCAGGTGCGTCCAACTGTTCGTCGACACTGCTCATAGACAATATATACTCTTTTAGCTCTACTAGCTAAGTGTGAGTTCCATGTTAACTTCCTATCAAGGGTAATACCAAGGTACTTCACCTCGTCAGAAAAATTTAAACTGTACTTTATAATCCTTGGTGGTATTAAGCCCGTGATTCTTCTTTTCCTGGTAAAGAGGACCATCTCTGTTTTCTTAGGATTTATAGATATACAAGGAAGGTACAAGATGTAGAAGAATTTCTTGGCTGCTTAACCTTCGTGAATGGTTCGAAATAACACGAAATATACCATGCAGCAGTTTCGAAAGGGCAAATAGCCACGTTGATCAGCAACCTCCACAAGAGATAATGAATGCAAGAATAAGATTGATTATTAATTTGTTTTTTTTTATTTATTTAATTAAAATATCGACTTTTAACATCGAATAAAAGAATATCTCTTAATATTTATGCTTATTTCTTTGATAACTTTCTTTCTTCTCCATCTCATACGTAGTTTTAAACATCGGTTATTTTGATAAATTAAAGTTTAAAATTAAAAAATACTTACATTGACTCTACTTTTTAACTTCTCACTAGCAATGGACAACATAAATTCGTAAACGAATTTTATGTATGGAGGAAAATTAATTACATTGATTTCTTTATGACGCATCGGCATTGATTGCTAAAAAATAAACAGTTAAATAATTAGTATAGTATAAACATTTTTATATTATACATAGTGGACCAAAAGTCTGGAAACGCATAATGATCTCTTAAATAGATGGTCCAAATTTTCTCAATAGTCACTTTTATTTTTTAAATACAACACTCTGTATATTGTATTATTATTGGAAACCTCTCTACAATACGAGTTCAACCATATGTAACACTTAGTGATTTATCTAGTTATGAAGGTCTTAAATAAACCTTCTTAGTGCCGAATAGTTTTGAAGTAATTCAGTAAATATAGAATGCTATGATTTTAAGTCTTGTTCTGCTTATACTCATATTTCCTAATAGTTCAGCCAATAGAGTTCGTCTTGGTGGGTAATTTTTATTTGTTAGTTTAGCTTTTTGGGTTAAATTTCTATTTTTAGCTGCTTGTTTAGCCCAAAATAACATTTGATCGATAGTGGTATCCTTCGTTTTCCGTTTTTAGATGAGTTATTGTCGCTTGCTACGAAGAAATCCAGGTATGTAAACTTGTTTACTATCTCAAAATTGTAGTGGTCTATGTTGAAGATTTGTTCCACGTGTTTAGCTTTATCTCTGTTATTCGGGATGGATGACAACACTTTTTTTTTCTAATTTATTTTAAGGTCGATATTTGTGCGGTCGTTAAAAACCAACCTCTTATAGTGTATGCGATCAAATCCAAATCGTCAGCGAAGGCATAATCTATATTGACTTGTTTAAGATTGTTGCCCTATTGTGTAACCCAACATCTCTTAGTGATCTCAGATGACTACATCACCACATATTAAACGAAAGAGACACATATGAGAAATGTATAGGTCTCCAACAACTAAGTTGCCAATTATGTGATTTCTTTTAATCCTTTACACAAAACTAGAATAAAAAGTATTCTGGGTCTTAAATTATAGGTCTCCAACAACTAAGTTGCCAATTATGCGATTTCTTTTAATCCTTTACACAAAACTAGAATAAAAAGTATTCTGGGTCTTAAATTATACTCTCCTAATATTATTTGCACGGCTTTTCTCCATCAACCACCTACATTTGTCTTAGGCTGAAAGAATGCGAAATTTGCTCTTTGCGCAGTCGTCTTCTATTTGTTAACGTGCCCGGCTTTTTGTAAAAAATATCTTGATTTTTTTTATAGCATCTTTCTTAAAATAATTTATAGCTTCCTAAAAAAACTTTACTTCATTTGGACTATCTATAATTAAACGTAAATAATGTGGTTGAATTATACTAGGGTACATTTGAACAATAAAAATTAAGTGAATACTTACCTCACCCCACCTTATCATTATTGCAAAATCTGTAGCAGTAAACAAAGGAATATAGTTTAAACTAGCCTTTTCCAAATTTCCTACGTGTTTAACTCCCAATATCTGATTCTCTTCGTCATCCGTTAGGGTTTCGTAAGTAATGGCAAACACTTTGGCTAGATCAGCCCCGTTGAATTTCTGAAGATTAAATTTTGCTAAAAAATAAAAATACTTTTACTAAAATCGAACAATTTGTATTGTTATAAATATATAAATAGATAAGTATTCACGGATCTATATCAAATAACACAGAAGAATCCAAAAACCTAACGAAAGACTTGTGAAACTGGTATGGGAGGAGATTCCCACAGGCAAAAGACCACTCGGACGTCCCAGAATGCGATAGAGAGATAACATCCAAGCAGATCTCCGAAAAATAAACATTCAATTTGACCTTAGGTTAATGGAAGATCGAACAAACGGGAAAAAAGTTGTAAAGTCAGTCAAGACCCACCCAGGGTTGTAGCGCTACGTGATGATGATGATGAATCCAAAAACCAATAACCTATGTTATACCATATAATTAAAAGCTCTGACTTCTTGTGAGTTAAGACTGGTTTGAGACTGCAGATTATCCTTAAAAAAACTAGCAGATAAAAACACAACCCTGTTGTGAGTACTACTTAATAAGAGTAATCCCTTAATAAAAGCATCCCTTATATATTTAACAGAAAGTCATCTTTGAATACTCACAAGGTATAAATCGAAACATATTTTGGTGTAATTACTCAGAAAAAAAACGTTAACACAAGAGATATATGAATAATAAATGATCCTTATTAAGAACAAGAAGTTAGAGAAAATGTAAATTTTGGATCAGCTAAATCAAAGACAAAATCACTTTTAGACTGGGTAAACAAATGTCTGTGTGGTGTCTGTTCAGAAAAATCATTAAGATTGCTAGATAAAATAATAGAGACAAGTGAAGAATTTAGTCTATCAAGTACTACAACGACTTAGGAAGAAATATCAACAGGTCATTGTATGATATAGAGGCGTGAATTCATCTATACTAATACATAAATCAACAAACAAACTAGACATTTACAATATAACCAGAATACGAATAGACATAAAAATACTGTATGCACTAGCAGATTCCAAATTACGGTCCAGAGTGCTCAGTTGATCGAGAACCACTGAGCTTATTTGAATAGTTTTACTGTAGATTCTAGACGTTAACAAGTTGTTTGTAAAAACTCAATTTTTAATATTCTTTAATAATATATTATAATAATAGTGATTTTTAATCTTGTAACTGTTCATTTAATCTAGAAATGTATCTATATACTAATATAAAGTATTCAAATTTGCTCAACGTGCAGGAGCTGCTGATAAACCTACTATTGACATTAAAAGAGTACAATAGAGTGTGGATTTTGGGTTGCATTTTCAGAAATTTCTGTATGTAGCATCAAAAATATTGCAAATGAAGGGGCGGATTTTTTTTTATTTAGCTTTACTCTCGACAGCGTAGGTCACTGACACAGGTACAATTTTATTAAGAATATACAATATCATTACAATCAATAAAGAAATACATTAAATATTGGTACAATTATTAATTATTAAATTCTAAACTATGTTTCTTCTTCTAAATTTCCTGGTAAAGTTTGGTTTCATAGAGGAAATTAGTAAGATTTTGGAATTGATCTGGCGAACTGAGAATATTTTGTAGGTTTCGACTCAAGAGATTTTTTTTCTTTAGCTGTTAAAGTGGGGACAGTCTACTAGCTCTAAGATAGTCAGTTCTCAAGAAATGATATCTTACAAAACCATTTAGAAGTCTTTTGTGGTCAGATTTGAAATTCGTTTCTTGTAAACATACTATGTCGGCAGTAGTAGCAAGGATTAACTTTTGAAGGTGTTCAAGTCTAGGGTAAAATCCATCACAATTCCACTGACTTAGATTGAAGTATATTAAAATGGGGATTTTTGGGAGTGTTGAAAGCTATCTGAGAGATATTCCTCATCTGTAGGTTCCAGTAATGACAGGGAATTTATGCTCACTGTGTCTGCTGTGTCAGACTGAAAATCTTGTTTAGGCTTTTTTGATATTTTTGTAAATCTGTACTTTAATAACCTATCTGTTAGAAAAGGATAAACATTATACATGTCAGAGAGTAACGATTTGATGTCATGTGTAAATTGTTGGGATTCAGATAATATATTGCTACTACCGTAACTATTTTCAAGAAAACTTATGAAATTGTCTACAGAAGCGGAAAAAGAGTATGATGACTTACTAAAATAGTCTTTTATTGCTGCTTTCGAGGCATCCGTGATTTTGGAACTATTAAACGAATCTTTTTTTAGCTTCTTCCTAGCTTGTTTCATTGGTTTTCTGTTTGTATCTTAATAAGAAGGAGGCAGTGCACGTGAAAATTCTTTTTGTTTTTCTGACACGTTAATTACGTTAGAATCGATTAAATTCGAAAAGGCTCTCTTCATTCCAGGGACGGGTGAGGATGGTATTTCTTTAGTTGTTGATGGATTCTCTGTAGAAACTGAAGGGACAATTGTATTTGGGCAATTGTTAGCTACATGTCCAGATTGTTTGCATATAAAACAGAGCATTTTATTGGTAGACAAAAATATGCGATGTGCATTACCTTTAAATATTGTAGTATATTGTAGTTATCATTCGGTAAGATTATGAAGACCTATCTATGGAAGAAAAGAATATGGCTATATTCGTCGTCTGGAATTCCTGCCTTTAGGAACGAGATGATTGAAGCAATCTGTAGACGATAATCTTTGAGTGCCGACTCGATAAGCTCATGTGAAATAGAGCTAGGACATATAATTGATAAATCTAGACGTTTAGCTGGTGTAACTAGTCTTCTAATACTATGGTCTACGTCTTCTACGCGAACAACAGGATTATTTGTGAGTAATCATGAAAAAACACGACATAAGGTACCTACCATTACAGTATTTGAGACAAATCAAACAATTCGCATCAAAAAAAGGTAAAATGATAGATTGGCTAATTACTAGAAGTATTTCTTTTCTTGCTAATATGCTCATACCAGACCTGTGTGCAATAATAAAACTATATATATATATATATATATATATATATATATATATATATATATATATATATATATACATATATATATATATATATATATATATATATATATATATACATATATGGAAATATTTCAAATTTGCTATTGACTTTATTAAAAATAAAGGGGGAATGCACTAAGTTTTCTACTATAATATCCAAATTTAAAACTGACAGAACTTGTTTGGGCAGCAGACGTTCGAACACGAATTGTAAATTTCACTTTTAATTACATTCAAAAGTTTTGAATGAATTCTTTGTAATATTTTTCGTAGAAGATTGCTAAAAAATAATAGACAAAGTGAACATTATTAAGAATGTTTGTATTTCAAAGGAGCCCTCATTTTGATGCTACCATATTATCATCATCATCATCCAGCCTTCTGCGTTCAAAGTTGAATATAGAGCTCCCCTGACGTTTACCGTTCTGTTGGTCTAGAGCTTTCTGCAGCCTATTCCCAACCATCGATCGTGTAGATGGTCTACCTCTGCTTCTTCTATCTGCTCGTGGCCTACACACTGTAATTATTTGGATACATCGCCCGCCATTCATTCTAACTCAGTTGCACGGACTAGCATGGCTCGTCCAGTTCCACTTCAACCATGCTATACCCTCTATGGCATCTGTGACGCATGTTCTTCTTATTTTTCTTCGTTTCTAACCCTATCTCTGAAAGTCAGTCTACGTAGCAAGCTTTTCATTCTTTGTTGGACTACTCCGAGTTTAGTTGCTGTACCGTGACAACCCAAAAGTCATATTTTTATAATTTAAACCACAACCTAATTCTGCAAACTATCCTCGTTTGGTTACCTAATAGGTTTTCCGGTTCTACATGGTTTTACGTTTGTTTAAATTTTATTTTATGTGTTTGTAATATTCTCTACCTGATATTTGTTGAACTGCGAACTTAAGGCAAAAGGTATATTAAAATCAACATCACCATGCTTTTAGTTAAATTTATACACTAATTTTAATACATGCATAACATACTGCCTGTATTTATTTCAGTAAAATTCTGATAAATCAATTTATCTTTTCCATTCAAAATTACAGCGTTTCATTGTAACTAGGAATATAATTCATAAATAAACAAACCACAAAACCACTACCAGAACTAATAACATGTATGAGTGAATTTGTAAAAAACAATAGACTGGAAATTTGAGTAGCAAAATCAACAATTTATTTTAGTAGTTATATAATAATTATTTTCACGAAAATAGTAATTATAAACTGTTAAATAAAAATCGTTGTTGATTAAAATGTAGGCAAATGCGTGTAAAAAGTATAACTTAATTTATATTGTTTGGTTTATAATAACTATAAAATGGAAAAAGAAGTAAAAATATTCTACGCAGAATATTTACAGAAAGTGTGAGCTAAAATAAAATTCAAAATTTAAATGCTGTTGTAACAATGGGTAACTTAAAATATCAAGCTGGAAAAATAAGTCATTGAAAACGTATTATATTTGAAAAACATAGCTTATATAATGAATAGCAGTCTAGTGGTAGCAAATCTAAGACAGAAAATCGAAATAGTGTCAAAATTAAGAAATAAACGACATGGAACTATAATAATCCAACTAAGAAATAATGAAACTAGTCATACGCTTGATCTCTTAAGTTATCGTATAATTTAGCTGTCCCTATGAGTTTTACCAAAAAGCGTGTCAGTAGCGGAGAAATTATTTAAAAAAAAAGAGGTTAAATCTTTGTAAGTGGGTATATTTAAAATACTCTTAAAAGGGCTACATCAAATTAACAAACGTTTTCGGAATAATAATTCCATCATCAGGTTAAAGCAGGTTAACATGCCTGAGCTACCAAAATATTAGGGTAAAAACCCTTGAAAGTAAATAAGGTCACCAAAGATTATACATATTGTTGTTAAAAATTATTGATGTTTAATATTTTATTATATTTTACTTTAGGTAACATACACCCATGCCTTACGTGAGTACCAGCGTCCAGAGAGTAGACCTCTTCAAACGGACTTCAACTGGTAACTGTTCAGTTCAGTTTTTAGTAGACTTATATACATACACATCATTATTTTTATTACAGATTTTTATTATT